TATGCCTTTTCGATGTCTAAGAAAACTCCCACTACTACCTCTTTATGTATTTGTGCCTTCCTGATATCGTCTTCCAAACATAAAACTGCATTCGCCCTTTCCTAAAACCACTTAGATATTGAGATATTAGTCCTTTGCTCTCTAGCACATGATTCAGCCTATTCATGACCATACGTTTCATTAATTTACATATATTTGATGTTAGGGCAATCGGCCGATAGCTGGATGCTTGTGAGTGATCCTTCCCTGGTTTTGCAACTGGGACAATTATTCCATGCTTCCAAAAAGATGGAAGTTTCCTTAATTCCCATATCTTATTAAAAAGGGATAAAATAATACGTAATGATGTGTCTGATAAATGCTTAATCATTTCATTACATATTTCATCTTTCTCTGGTGATGTCTGTCTAACTCCAGCAAGAGCCCTTTTTAATTCATACAATGTGAACTTCACATCCAACGTACAACCAGACGGACCACTTTGTACTTTAATATCCAGATTCTCTTTTATTAAAAGTTCTCTGGATCTTCTCATTCCATCAGAAATATTTCTGTTGCTGTGCACTTGCGCCAACACTTCTGCTTTTTCCGTATCCGTTATTATTGGTCTTTCTTCACTTATTAAACTTGGTATGTTGTTATATTTTTGTATTCCTCCCATCCGCCTAATCATACCCAATATTTCACTAACTTCTATTTTTCCTCCAACATTATCACAGAATTTTCTCCAATAATCTCTTTTACATGCACGGATAACTTTCCTTACAACTGCCTGTGCTCTCTTATAATTGATCAGGTCATCAAAGGAAAAGGACCTTCTGACCCTCCTAAGCATTCTGTTCCTAATTCTAATAGCATCGCTGCATTTGTCTGTCCACCAAGGTACTGTTTTCTTTCCTTTTATTCCTTCTTTTTTCCCCCAATTACTTATTTTGCTGTACTATATAAAACTTTAACTGTTTACTATATTCCTCTATATTATCATGTATTTCTTCCATTTCTTGCATTCTTATTTCACCCATCTCTTAGAATTTCTCCCAGTTAGCGGTTTTAAACTTCCATCTAAGAATTTAGTTTATCTCTATCTGTTCCACTTCTAATCCTATTTTACAACAAATTGAGAAGTGATCACTTCCTATAGGTACTGTGTTCCAACACTTCCCATGTGCATTTCCTAGCCAATTCATCTGAAACTAGAGTTAAATATATCGCAGAGTAGTGACCGCGGGCAACATCAAACCTTGTTGCTTTACCATTATTCAAACACACTAACCTGCTCCACTCCAGCATATCTTCTATAATATTTCCATTTTGATCATTCTTTACACTACCCCATATTGTACTGTGGGCATTAAAGTCCCCACACCACACTAATTAGTAACTACCTGTTCTTCGAATTATCTCTAGTGTTTCTCTACTCAACCTGGATTGTAATAATTAATTATTCTTATATTTTGTGTTCTATTCCAAACATCTATAACCACTGATTCATGCCACTTATTCATTTCTATTACCCTAAACCCTATTCCTTGTCTTATAAAAGTTGCTACCCCACCTCCAATTCCATCATTTTTATCCCTGCGTATTACATTACATTCCTGTAATGTGAACTTTAATTGTGGCTTTAGCCAAGTTTCTTGTATACACACAACACTAGGTTTATTTTCTAATTCATCAATGTATCTTTTAAACTATTGCCCATTAACTAATAAACTTCTCGCATTCCATTGTATAATTGTCAGCAACATTAAGATCCACCACATGCTTGCGTGATTGCAGTTTGTACTTTGATCTTTCACTAATCTCATCTATTGTAATTCCCTCAATATCCAAGTATTTTCCAGCTGCCCTAATTATGATCCTTATCCTTTCCGTTCTGCTCTCTGATTGTGCTGAACAGTTTATTACTTCTGCCATAAATGCAATAAATTTGACTTTATCCGCTATTATATGCTTCTCATTAATTCTGCATTCCTCCAAGCACTTACTCGATAACTCTGTTGGTCGCCCTTGCTCACTCTCTTTTTGTACTTGCTTGACTTTTTTAAAAGCTTCGGCATACGACACTCTCTCCATAATCCTGACATTCTGTATTTCCACAGCCTCTTTCCTGACAATACACCCTCCATACCCAGCACTGTGTTCTTCCCCGCAGTTACAACATTTCTGCTTTACTCCCTGTCCACATTTCCTGTATTCATGATCTCCACTGCATCTTGCACATCTTTGTTTCCCTCTGCACACACCTGTAACATGACCATACATTTGGCATTTGTAGCATCTGAGCGGTGGAGGAATATATGGCCGTACCATATAACTTACAAATCCAAGAAACACTCTAGCTCAGGGGTGCCCAAACTCGGTCCTGGAGGGCCAGTGTCCTGCAGAGTTTAGCTCCAACTTGCCTCAACACACCTGCCGGGAAGTTTCTAGTACGCCTATAAGAGCTTGATTAGCTGATTCAGGTGTGTCTAATTGGGGTTGGATCTAAACTCTGCAGGACACCGGCCCTCCAGGACCGAGTTTGGGCACCCCTGCTCTAGCTGGTAACTTCTCCTCATCAAATTGCAACATGACCGACAAACTATCCATTCTTTCCTTATTTCTAACACATTTCAACCTTCTGGCATTGCTCACTGATGCCCCTGTACTAATTAACTAGCCATTGTTTAATGGATCAGCTTTGCAACTATAAATGATATTTAAAGGGGTCATATGATGTGATTTCAAGTTTTCCTTTCTCTTTGGAGTGTTGCAAGCTCTTGGTGCATAAAGAAGATCTGTAAAGTTGCAAAGACTAAAGTCTCAAATCCAAAGAAATATTCTTTATAAAAGTTAAGAGTCAGCCATGCCTGACATGTCTACATCACGATGTGGGAAGATTTGCATAACACCGCCCAAATGTTCACACAAAGAAAGAAGGTGTAACTCATGTGGTGGCCGCACGCCCTCCGGACGCTCCTTCGTCGAATCCGCCGGCCGCGCCGTTCTCAAGCCCGCCGTCTCTGCTCACTCAAGCCCCCGGCCGCTGCTCACTCTAGGCCGCCGTGTGTGACGCTGTGTTTCCTTATGAAAGCAAACTACTTTGTTTGGCCTTGAAAAAAAATGGACACGACTAGAAATCAGTGGTTAAGTTGTATTTACAACACTGTTCCAGAGCAGTTCAACCCAAATATTCAGATGTGTGCAGCACATTTTATGGAGGACTGTTTACTGATCCTGGTAGAGTAGACTACAATGCCGGCTGTTCTGACTCATAGACTGTAAGTACGTTTTGATATTTAAAGAATTTGCCACTGATGATTCAAACGCAAGTTTTGAGCAGTGTAGAGTAGCGCTTGTTGTTTGTCATTTCTCCGATCACAAATGCAGACATGGTTTTATGTTTACGCGGCGCGATGCAACGCAACGCGTAAAAAGACAGTATAAGTCATTATAATCCATAATTATGTCCCCACTGGACGCAACAAATGCCTCGTTTATAATGGGTTTTCATGTTTTTGTCTCGTCGCTCAGGGCATCACAGTACGGTGAGGGGCGTAACATTTCCGTCACACGCTTGAGGTATTCGGCCAATCATAACGCACTGGATAGCTGGCCAATCACAGCACACCTCGCTTTTCAGAACGATGAGCTTTGTAAAAATCGACGTGTCTCAAAAAGACGGGGCATAGAGGAGAAACAATAATGTACAGTATGTGGAAAATAATGTGTTTTTTTAACCTTAAACTACATAAACACATTTCATTACACCAAATACACAAAATAATGTTCTTTTTAGCCTCATCATATGACCCCTTAATATATATTTTAATTTAATATTATTGTATTTTATATGATATAAATATTATATGGTATTAGAAGTGTAAAAAATTCATATAAATTATTCATATTAAATTACAAAATATATTAAATTAATACTTTCAATATTATTTATATCTGTTTATGATTTCTTTCTGGAGGTTAATGAAACGAAGCCATCTGAAAACCATCTTTTCCAATCCAAATACAGTTGATTTTATTTTAACGCGTCCATATCACTGATGGTGACCAAATTGGACAAAACACTACAACAGTGATAATTTATTGTTCATTCTGTTTGGGATGGCAGATACAAAACATGCAGAGAGGCAGAACAACATTGCAGTTATGTCTTCATATGTAAGGATTACATTTACAAATCATAATCATCATATTCCTCGTTGTCTATGTGATCAGTTTTTCTCTCCAGTAACAAATCCCTGGTCTGCTTCTCACAGATATCTTGTGCCAGCACATAAGCTCGCCATTCATCAAGAGATTCATGGACAGGCTTGCTGCAGAAATCAGGCCTGATTTCCACATCCTGTGCCAAAAGGGCTTTTTTGACCTCAAGGAGTTCACAGCTGCACTGCCATGGGTTTCCATCCAAATATAGAAGTTTCAGTTTTGGTAGGTTCAATGCAGGCAGGGTGGAGAGTTTGTTGTTGCGCAGATTTAACACCTGCAGTCGCCTGAGAGGCTTCAGCTCCCGTTCATGTATCGTGTCAATGTTGTTCCCCTTCAGATCCAAACGGACCAGTGTCTCTGGAAGGCTGGTATAAAAAGAATATTAAAAAAACTGATTAAAAGAAACAGTTATCAAACAGTTATCATTTAACATGATCAATTAATCACATCATATTCAGTCTGATAAAAGCAAAAATAAACAAATAAATGCATAATGCATAAATATAGTAAGTGTATGCATGCATAAATAAATAAGTGTGTAAATGAATAAATACATCCGTGAATAAATGCATAAATAAACAAATGCATAAACTCATAAATAAAAAATTTAATTAAAACATTTTCATTACTTGAAATAAAATTAACGATAACTGAAATAAAATAAAACTTGCCATGTGTTTTATTTTAACTAGTTGCCAAGGCAATGTTTCTCATTTTCATTTAGTAATGACTTGAATAACTAAAATAAGACAATATAACTGTAAAAACTATACAAAAAGGCAAAAACATACCAAAATTACTAAAACTAACTGAAATTAAAATGAAAACGGGAAAATATGAATATTAGTCATTAATGAATATTAATCATATTAGTTCATATTAATATCAAAATGTTAAAATAAAATAAAAACTATAGTATTATTTCAGTGATACTAAAAAACACAGACTGACTTTACTTCAGAGGAAATCAAATGAATATCAATATGTGACCCTGGACCACAAAACCAGTCATTAGGGTCAATTTTTCAAAATTGAGATTAATACTTCATCTGAAAGCTGAATAAATAAGCTTTCCATTGATGTATGGTTTGTTATGATATGACAATATTTGGTCGAGATGCAACTATTGAAAATCTGGAATCTGAGTGTGCAAAAAAATCAAAATATTGAGAAAATCGCCTTTAAAGTTGTCCAAATGAAGTTCTTAGCAATGCATATTACAATCAAAAATTAAGTTTTGATATATTTACAGTAGGAAATGTACAAAATATCTTCATGGAACATGATCTTTACTTAATATCCTAATGATTTTTGGCATAAAAGAAAAATCTATCATTTTGACCCATACAATGTATTTTTGGCTATTGCTACAAATATACCCCAGCGACTTAAGACTGCTTTTGTGGTCCAGGGTCACATATGTTAAGTGAAAAAAAATGCACATACCCATGAGGAATAGCAGAAAGCAGATTCTGTTCTAACGCTAGGCTGGTTAGTTGAATGCAGTTTCTCAGGGCATTGGCTTCAAAGTTTTGGATGGAGTTGTTTTCCAAAAAGAGATGTTTCAGTAGTTTCATCCCTGCTAGTTGCTGAATAGTGACTTCCTGGATATTGTTCTGCCTGCAGTCCAGCTTTTCAAGTTTAGAGGTCAATCTTCCAGGCAGTATTCGTAGCTGGTTTCCTGCTAACTCGCACACAGAGAGATTAGGCAGGCGCAGACCCCCGTCGACTGATACTAGCCTGTTAGAGCTGACAGAAAGAGTAATGAGGTTGTGCAGCTGGGACATGTCACGATTCCTCAGTGATCGGATCTGATTACTGTCCAAGTTCAGATGAACCAGAGACCGAGGAAGATCATGAGGGACTTTGGTGAAGCGGTTTGAAGACAAATCGAACGTTTTTAGAAGCTGCAGTGAAGAGAAGAACGTTGATGATATGGAGGAGATCCTGTTGCTTCCCATGCTAAGCAAATTTAGAAAGGGCAACCTGGGGGCGCCATGTATTGATTCGATTTGATTTCCATCCAGATAAAGACACTCAAGCTTTTGAAGTAATGTTAGGGTGTTTGCGCGCAAGGTGCTAATCTGGTTATTCTGGAGGTTCAGGACCCGCAGCTTCTCGAGGCCCTCCAGGAGTGACTCTTGAAGGCTGTGGATCCTGTTGTGGCCCAAATGCAGGATCTCCAGGCCAGAGGGCAGGCCACGGGGAAGCTGTCTCAAATAGTTTTTTTGAAGGTCCAGAGTTCTTAACAACACGTGAGATCTGAACACATTGGCGTCAATCTGCTCGATCCCACCAGAAGACAGAACTACTTCTTCAAGGCCTGGCAGACCAGAAAAATCTCTGGCCTATAAATAACACAATCTGTTTAAAATCTACCAGTATAATAGGCACCAAGAATACATGAATAATAATGATTAAAACTTTAATTACAGAAAAATCACATAGTAGGATAAAAATTATTTCATCCACTGAGAATGAATGAATCAATCAATCAATGACTGAATGACTTGATGATGATTAGATAGATAGATAGATAGATAGATAGATAGATAGATAGATAGATAGATAGATAGATAGATAGATAGATGATAGATAGATGATAGTCAGATGATTAGATAGATAGATAGATAGATAGATAGATAGATAGATAGATAGATAGATAGATAGATAGATAGATAGATAGATAGATAGATAGATAGATTGATGTTTTAATCCTGAACAGCAAAATAAAATCAATAAAGAACAAACTAAAAATTACCTTCAGTTCTTTGAGGTGATTGTAACCCAGGTGTATTTTCTTCAGGTTGTTTGAGATGAGCGGTGGTACAGACTGAACCCTAAAGCACTGCAGTGAGGCTGCTTGCTCACAGATGCAGTTTTTTGGACAGATGTGGCTGCAGTGGGCATGTTGACTGTAGAGTAAGACACACAGAAAAAGGCAGAATATCATCATTCTGAGAAAACAGCTTCAAACGCCTCTGTGCTGAAGCAGCATTTTAAGTGTCTGAGGCTTAAATAGCTGAGCCAGATTCACCCTTGTGAGAACAAGACTCCTCTGCTTTGTTTGAAACAATGGCTGAGATCATTATCTTGGTTAGAAAACAAAATTCGACACCAGCAAGGAACTGACATATCAGCAGTAGAGAGTCCTGTCTGTTTGCAAATGTAAGAAACTTGCTGATAAACTACTTACAACCTATTAGTTAAACTTAAATGCATTTTCAAGTTTTAAAACCAAAAATGTATAAAAAATGTTATATTTTAGACTACTGGATTAAAAACTACTAACATTACTGACTGTTTTTTTTATAACGTAAAATTTTAATTTCTAAAAAGCTTAAAAAATGAAATGCATAAATGAATAAATAAATAAATTCATCCATTAATAAAGGTTGGGTGGTGCAGCAAATAATCACAAATCTCTGGTTATTTTAGCCAAATATTAATTTAACATTTGATAGTATGTAATTAGCAGTGTTATTTAGTATCACTGAGATACCACTGCAGTTTTATTCATATTTTGAATCGGTTTTTATTTTAATATTTGCTATGTTTATTTTACTTTTCAAGTTTTAGTAAATTTGTTGTGTTTTTGTACACGCGCGCGCACACACACACACACACACACACAGTATATACATATAGCTTTTATTGATTTTATTTCAGTTTTAGTTTTAATCAAATTGAACTAAATTCAAACGAAAAATGTTTATTTTATATTTAATTTTATTTCAAGTAAGTTTTTTCAATTTAATTTTAGTTTCAGTTTTAGTTCATTATAATAACCCTGGTAATTAGTTTAAAGGTATTATTATTATTATTTCGTCATAATGTTCTCTAATTCAGGCTTACATAATTATACGGTTTTCCTAAATATTACATCTATTAAACAATATTAATAACAGAAACCAAGCGTGTATAGGCATTATTAACAAGTGCAAATATATTATACAGTTCAACAACTAATAAAATGATAATAACTACTGTATTTATTTTATGCCACAGAAGTAATTGAGGAGATCTGACGTACTCAGTAATCGATTCGCTCGTCGCACGACGGCCTTCTTCATTGACGGGCCGGCCCGGCCTCATCGTGTGGCAGACCAAACGAATCGATCCACGCTGTTGACTTGTGCGATCTCGGATTTCCTGGTCAGATGAGAGCACGGAAAACACATCAACAAATCATCACTCTCACTCTATTACATCGGAAGTCTATTGTTAATATAACTTAAACGACCGGGTGATCGCCCCGAGTAAAGGACTAGTTTCAAGTTATCTGTGTGTTCTCCCTGTAGCCGTGTTAAAGATGTCTGCGTCCGCTGGCGGTGCTGTATCTCCGGGCTCGGCCCTCTCACCCGGTCCCGCTGCGGCTCCCGGCTCCGGTATGTCCATGTTCCGATGGCTGGAGGTGCTGGAGAAAGAGTTTGACAAGGCGTTTGTGGATGTGGATATGTTACTGGGAGAGATCGACCCGGACCAGGCTGATATCACATATGAGGGCCGTCAGAAGATGACCAGCCTCAGCTCATGTTTTGCTCAGCTGTGTCACAAATCCCAAACCATCTTTCAGCTCAACCACAAACTAGAGGTGAGGAAAATAAATGGATATTCTTCTACAAAGTCTCCAGACAAAGTTGTTGTTCTTTCGTTTACTGCCATAGGAACTGCATGGGACTGACCCACTAGTACTATATTATTATAATGGCTGTTAAGTCTTTAATGACTGATTTTTAAAAAATTGTATTCTACATGAATCGAATATAAATAGGTTATGAATGTTCAGCTTCATGTTTCAGATGGATTTCGAACTACTACCAATCTACACTCACTGAAAGTACCATGTAAATGTAGCATTGACACATAAATATAGCTTTTACTAGCATATACATGGTACTTTTTGAAAGGGGCAGGATTCGCATTGGTCTTAGAAAACTTGGCAATATCAGGGAGTTTTTGAAGTGTATTTCTATAGTGATTTCAGTTTTGCAATAACTGCAACATTTTAATTGGCTGTAAATTGTTCTTTTTCGAGTGTAAAGTCAATGTAAAAAAACACTTTGGCAATAAGGAGTGGGAACCCTGAAATGAAAACTGCTCGGTAATGTTGAAATATTATATCTATAGATGTCAACAGTGCATCGTTTGCGTTTTGAATGATTCATTTCGATCCTGGTATTCTGTTTCAATAATGTTCTTGTTGCGTAAACATGAGGTTTTCATTCCACAGCTCATTGCAAAGCTTTTGAGACGTAATTACAGTGCGCTACTTTTGGTGAAGAAATAAGACCTACACTACAGTTAATCTGGTTATCGCACAATAAACCCAAGAGGGTGATCAAGTTTTTTTTTAGTTCTTGTGCATATTTAGTGTGACAGTTTTACATTTGAAAGTTTGGCAAATTAGCTTTTTTGCATTGTCAAAATAAACTGTATAGGCTGAAAATGGTCTGAAAATTAAATGAATGGCCTGTTATGTTCCCTTCAGTCTGCTCGTCACTTCATGTAGGCTGTCTGATAAATAATGCATATGTGCATTGAAATGAATGCACTTGTCGTTTTGTTTATTTCATTTTTCTCTGGACACACAGATGGCAGTATCTGGATGTCAACTGCATAAACATTCAAAGTTGCCAGTTCAGTAGCAGATTTCTTTATCCACCGGAAATGCTTTGCATATGGTGCAAACCGTGTTGGTGTAGTCACAAAACTAGGTGGATAGCATATAAAAACCTGTTAAACCTGCTTAGCTAATGCCAGACTGGCCATTCTTCTGTTTAAACTGACTGCAGTGCATCACATAAATGATCCCTTAACTTTAACAGCAGCATAACACGCACTTATGTGCCAGGTCATGTTTGTATTAAGTACTGTTGCTGTTGAGCTCCGCTATCCTGTGCTTTTTCTGTCACACAGTTTGGATAATTGGCATCTTGTCTGTGTGTTAGCAGATTCCAGCTTCTCAGGAGACCAGCTCGGGTAATCTGCTTTTCCCACCACTTTTCAAATCTGTTAATGGCTTCTTTATCAAAGCTTACAGTCCAATTTGAAAAGCAGTATAGTCTTCCACAAGAGAAATGAATCGTCTTTGCCGTGGAGGAATCACTTGTGTCCAGGAGATAATAATTCAAAATAACAGGTTCTCGACTGTAGTGACTCACCGGTATATTTGTGTGGGAGGCTGAATTTCTTTCTGAAAAAGTAGTTTAGCAGGTGAAGAGGTCGCACATACACCCACCTCTTCACCGTCGCAGCTGAGCAGAGCAGATTAACGCACGGCTTGATTAAACACTCCCTGCTGTACAAGAGGAGAGTTGTATGTGACCGTGAAGATTACAGCTTCCTGTCCTTAAAAAAGTACTAAAGCGGTACTATGGCACCATTTCATGCTATTTATGTGAAGTGAAGTGAAAAGTGAAAGTGACCAAGTATGGTGACCCATACTCGGAATTAGTGCTCTGCATTTGCCCATCCAAAGTGCACACACACAGCAGTGAACACACACAAACCGTGAAGACGCACCCGGAGCAGTGGGCAGCCATTTTTTTGCTGCGGCGCCCGGGGAGCAGTTGGGGGTTCGGTGCCTTGCTCAAGGGCACCTCAGTCGTGGTATTGAAGGTGGGAGAGAGCACTGTACATTCACTCCCCCCACCTACAATCCCTGCCAGTATGAGACTCGAACCCACAACCTTTGGGTTATGAGTCCGACTCACTAACCATTAGGCCACGACTTCCCCATAATGTACATGGTAAGGTACTATTTAGATGGCCTTGTCAACCCGTAATGTGATGCATTGCTGAAAGAAGCAGGATTTTTGATAGGGATTTATTATACCAATTAATTTTTTGTCATTTCGAATGATGTTTTAGTGGGGGTGCCTTAATTAGTGTGCTGTGCATTAGCTATTAGAAAGTTTTCACAGCAAACATCTTTTGTGTTCGGAAATGAATGCCATTTAAAACACTGCCAGTAGACATGAACATTCAGACAGATGTTTTTTGGTCACTGCATTGCGTCATTCACTTTTTTTCGGCATCTTAAAGTTGCGCTGAAACAGAAGCAGCAACAGATTTTTCTTCTGAGATTGTGATGCACATTTGAGTGAAATGGATTATTAAAAAATAAAAAAATGTATGGTGCGGGCCATGGTTCTATCCATTAGTTGTTGACTGGATGCAGGCAGATCTGAATGTGAGCTTGTAGTCGATTGTAAAAATGGGACCGGGCTTACGCAGACTAAATATTTTGAGAAATCCAGCAAACGTCACCAGAGAGAAGTCTGTAGTTTCACTGGGAGATTGAGTTATGACAATTTGTTTTAAAAAAGAAGCATGCATGGATGACTTAATCACAATTAGATCATAAAACAACCATTTAAAAATTTTCGGAATTCATATTAATGCTGACTTTAAATAATAAATCATGCATAATAATTCTACAAACATGGATTAAGACAGTAAATAGGGTAAATTTTGATTTCATGCTGACTTAAAAATCTACTCCTGTGATGTAATCCAAAGTATCCATCCAAATATCTGTACCAAACACCCTCTCTGAAGGCTGCTACTCTATAAAAGGTCTCGGCCTGCAACAATGAGGCATTTTTCTCTAGTCATAGGCAGTGGCAGCTCGTCGGGGGAGGCACCTTATAATTTTAAGGTGAAAATGGGAGGAGGACGATTTAATGTTAATAAAATTCACAATTCATGTCTCAGAATGTGTATTTTTTGTTTGTAATTTCACAGTTGTAATACCATAACGTGAAAGCGCCGCTTTTCTATCGCGAATGTGCCGAATCTGCTGATGTAATTACAAACGCTAATGATAGAGAAGGTTAGGGGGAGGCCAGGGGAGCGCGGAGCTCTCGTGCCTCTGTTGGTAAAAAAAATTAGCAAATCACCATCGAGTGTTCACTTTCAGCGCTGAGGAGTGTTGAGAAAAGAAACCTCACTCATACACTTATTTATCTAACACTCATACTCAGTCTACATTTCAATTTGCACATAATATTTTTGTACATACAACTGTCTATTGTTATATACCTGTACATACAATTGTCGATTTGTATATTTTTATTCCTTAGTTACTTGTTCTATTTTTTATTATCTGTGTTTTTGTTCTGTCACTGTCATTCTGTTACACTGTGGAGCTTCTGTCATGAAAACAAATTCCTCGTATGTGTAAACATACCTGGCAATAAAAACTCATTCATTTTTCATTCATTCATTCTCATTCATTTAAAAGCCATTTTAAAGTGGTTAAGCAAATAATAATAATAATAATAATCGGCAGGGATCCCAGACCAATACAATTAGTGTGCCTCCTCTATTTTAAAACCCACGAGCCGCCACTGGTCATAGGCTGCAACTACCTTGAGGTACCTTCAGTTGCATTGTTAAGTTCAGGGAACATATTCGATTTTGCTAGTAGAAGTGTTGTTACAGAGTATATGGACTTACTAGCATTTTAAAGTAGATTGTCACTTTTTTTTGGGACGGGCTGCAGTGGGAATCTAAAGTATTCAGAGTAGGGCTGTCAAAAAAAAAAATTGAATTTCAAATATTCATCGAATTAAAAAATAAATCCGTCAGCCGTCATGCAGCCTTATCAGTGGCGCACGAAATGCGACGACAATGTAAGTGTCATTGCATTTTAATGCTTTTGTTAGCCTATACAGTTGAACCCACTAGATGCGGAGCTGCTACGTTGTTCATTCAATATATAGTGGAAAACGAGAGCATCAGTGTGGCGAAGATGTTGTTTATGGCGAAACTGAAACCAAGCCGTTCACACAGAACGCATATTTATCACATTTTCTAGAGGGACATCTATCACTGTTGCACTCGCGTCTCGCACAAGAGAGCGGCATGTTTACAAAGCTATGTAAAAATGTAATTTCAACTTTTAAAAAAACATGTCTCAAGATTTTATGGCAGTTTTCCCCCATCCCACTGTATCTCATGTTTTTAAATGAAGAAAGTAGCCTACTCTTTGTGATTGGTTTTCGGTCCTTTGTATTAAACTATACATGCATGCATGGTGCTGTTCTAATTGTTTAAGCAACTTTATTAATTATATATGGTTTATAAACATTATTTTAAACATTATTC